CTTTGTGGTGCACTTCTGATGACTTGAAATGACTTCAGGCACCACTTAGTTTTTGCAGTGCATTTGAAAAACCTTAGGTGAGAAGTTACTCTAGTTTTTCTTTTGCCAATATGATACTTTATAAAAACCTCACTTGTGGGCTATAAAGAGGCACAAATGTATATTAGTGATGCAGAAGATAAATGGAATTAAAGGTTTTTTTGCATTGCCTGAGTTTTAGAAATTATGCGCATGAATGTTGTGGTATAATGAGATTTGGAGAGTTACCACAGGCTTTACATGTTTATAAACAATATTGAGTGAGCAAATCTGGGTTGATTTTAGAAGCAGCCTAGATCCCGTTAGTGCAGAATAGTAATAAACTAGAGGTTTTTTTAGATTGTTATTTTACTGTTCTATATCCAGTACAATTGGAAGACCCCTTTCAAGAACACTTATTAGAGATGTCACAGGTCTTGCAGCAAAAAGGGAAATCTTTACTACGATTTTTGTACTTCTTTAAGGGAAACTCTATAGGGAGTAGTAATCAAATTAAAGTATTACCTAAAGTTGTTTCATTGCCTGTAATGTAGTTTTACCTGTTGATTTTGTTTACTAGTAGGATTGTGGTATGACTGCTAAAGGCTGTCACTGTTACATCTGGATGATATAAAGCTTTTAGGAGGAGGACAACTTAAAATGACTACTTTTGTAATGCCTGATTTTCTTAAATGGAAACTGGTAAAGTTGTATGTATGCCTTCCTCTGTGTTCTAGACTTCCTTTTTTTGCAATACATGAATCGTTCATAGTATTCGTGTGCTTCTTTGGGTCTTACTGGGTGATACCATCAAAGATAAAAACTTGGCTATCTTAGTGGTAATGTCTCCTGGAAGATAAGCCTGACAGTATGGGAATCAGCAATTTCAAAGTACTCTTCAGGGAAACAGAGAATCTTGTTAAATGTATTCATATTGTGTTCATATTACTAATATATCACATTCCATATATATTTACTTCCTAGGGTCTATTAAATATTACATTTTGTAGAACATGCAATTCTTTTAATAAATATGAAAACCTGTTTCTTAATCTGAATAGGATCATGTGTTATAAAGTAGAACAGGAGTGGGAAAGGGCAAAAGTACTGTTTTCTATTACATGTATTTAAAATGTCTCAAGTTTGAAGCTGAGGGTATTGCACAGGCCAGTGTGTGAGCGTGGAAGATCATTGAATTATATGGTGTGCACCTCTGTGTTTTTTGTTTTTTTTTTTTTTTTTTAACAATTCTAATTTAAGGGAAGGGACACACCTTCAGGGGATATAAATCAGCACTGGTCAGGGCTGTGCTGATTTAAATTGATAAAGGATGCTGCACTCTTTATTTGCAGGTAATGTTGAGTGTTGTCTTTCAGTTTGATTTACTGAGGAGGTTTTATCTTAGGGTGAAATGACAGCTCATGTTCTTTTTATTTGTTTCTGTGTGTTAGTGGTCATTAATAATTAAACATAATTTTCTTCTTGGGGGAGGGGGGGGAAGTGAAAGAAGAAAAGCCAGTCATAATGTGGCTTTAGTTCTAAACCTTCCAGCTCCATGCAAAGAACTCAGAAATATGTAAGTGAAAGAATGAGAAAACATTTGACTGTCAACTTGTGAAATGTTACATTTTTCCTTTTGCTGATAAATGAGTGTAACCTTTTAAATACCTTGGAAATAGGAAATGGTTAGAATGGTTTTTATAATGTATTTTTTGTTTTAATGTTTTCTTACAATTATTTTACACAGTATGGCAATTCTTACAGCTAAATTGAATGTTGCTACAATTAATTTCTGAGTGGTTCTTTTCATCTTCAGAGAGTCAGATTAGAGATCGCTACTTTGCCGCTGCCTCTCTGTGTTACCTGAAGGTGATGAGAAAGTGACCTCAGTGATATGGATGTACAGAATTGCTAAAGAAGGGGCAAAGCAGAAATGGGTTGTCTCTACAACATAATCTTTTTGATGTTTAAAGTTACAGTAATGTCTTTATTTGGTATGAGTTCATTATGGAAAAGATAGTTTATATTTACTATAAAATGGTAGGAAACAGCATGCAAAAATCACACCTCATAAATATTGAGAAACAGAATCAAACAAAACCATTATTTCGTGTATTATCATGGCTGCCCATGTAAGTGGATTATAATTTTGTTTATTTTATATTTGTAACTTAATTTACAATGTTGTCATAGCAATAAGTGAAGGATATTCTGTGCTAGATGCTTACTGACATATTCTTTTATTGTTGATTAGAATCATCATAGTTTAGATAAACTTACTTTAAACTCACTTCTCGGATTTTAAGAAGTGAGTCTGTTGTCAGGACTTATTTTGGTATGAAAACTTATGTGTATGTTTTTCAACAGGAATTCTTACTCATAAATATGCGTTATTCCTAGGATATTCTACACTAGAAGTTATCTACATAGATGATGCCATGCGTATAGAGAAGGATTTTAATTCAAACACTTTTCCCTCAAATGTTGCCGTATCTCCAACTCAGTTGGTGTACTTGTAGAGGGCAGTAACAAGCAAGCTGTGCTGGTTGCAGAGAAGAACCTTTTCCTTAATTTTGAGACTGGGTGAAAGTGAGGAAGACAGCAATTCCAAGTCGGATGAAGTAACAGATGTAGAGACAAAACTGCAAAAAGAATAAGTTATTTTAGTTCTATTCTAAAATGATACTGTTTTTGATAGTCCAAATAACTAGCTTAGGAGAATGCCCTCACCCACATCCTGGTTCCTTTTGTCTAACAACCTAAGTATAGTAAATGTTTTTATTGCAGTATGCCAAAGCAAGTTGAATGTTAAGTGGTGTGTACTTTTCCTTTTAAAAATCTTAATTATATCAAATGGTCAGAATTAGTGTGCTTCTTTCATATCATCCACAGCCATCCTTCTGTAGGCTTCTGTCAGTGCTACTTTAACAGACTTTCCCTATGTTCAGAGGACGTGTATGTTGTCTGAAGATTTCTTATGATAATGATTTTGTATCCTTTTACCTTACTGTTCTTCACAAATTCTACCTTTAGGGAACGTGACTTATATAAGATAGGCCGTTCCATTTTTCCTGGTGATTTTGTGGTTAGCTGTCCTGTCACAATCCAAATTGTGATACCAAGTTGGCAGATCACAATTATGTTTCAACCTTGTGGTTTTAATCTAGTCCAAGAGCTTAACTGTGTTTCATTATGATTTTTAAAAGGTTTTTTTGTATTGTCCTGTATGTGGCAATACAGTACTGTATCTCAGCATGGTATCATACTGTACATTTGTTGTAGGAACAAATTCACAAATGGATTGTTCATACAGAGGGAGTATATTTAGGGAGTGGGCATGTTTAAGATTAGAATATTTTCCTCAGTTTTGTCATGCGTGTTCCCTCAGTGTATAAAAAAGCAGATATATGAGCAGTTATTCATAATTCCTTTTTATTTACCATGGTAGCTTTAAAGCACAAATATTTTGCAATAATTTAATTATCTCTAATTTGCTTTGAATAGGGAGCTTTAAGAGTGCAGAATTTTTTACTACATTTCTGTCAGGCTAAGTAGCTTCCTCTTCTACCTCTCCCACCCCTCTCTGAAAAAAGGGGCTAAAATTCTATGCTTTGTGTGATACACCTTTCTGATGCTCAGATTAGGTACTTAGGCCTTTCAAATGCTCTAGTGAAAATGGACTTTTCATCAGTTTCTAAATTTTTATTGGTATTTAATTATCCAGATCTGAGAGACATTAAAGTTAATGACATTTGAGTAGGCTCTTTAGAATGCTGTCATTTCTGGTTTAGGGTAGAGATACTCCCTCTAACTGCTTTTTTTCTCTATACTAGAGACGTCTTTCGTCTTGCAAGGGGTCTTCCTGTATGGTGCCTTGAAACGCTCTGTGTGTGTGTAGAGAATACCCTTTTCTTTTTATGTTCATATTCCATTATGAATGAAGAATCATCTTCATGTTCTGCAAGAATTCTGTATTCTTTACAGTTCTAAAGACTTTTCATTACACATCTGTTTCCTCTTTTTCTTTTCAGGGTCAGCTCTTATATAAGTCTTATAAAAGGTGGGATAATTTTTAACCCCTGGATCCACCAGAAGTGTCATTTCTCTAGAGATGAAAGGGGGTTTTATTTTCACTGCATTAATTTGTAATTTGTGAGGCAAATAGAAGATAGCCTCTGATTTCTCTATTTTAATAATTTCTGTTTAGTAATATGTGGATTCAAGTTGAGATGATGAGCAAACCTCATCTGATTTATGAGCTGATTTATGGCTCATAGATTTCAGGATACATATTTCCATACTTCTTCTGTGCTCACATACCAGAGATTTCACAAACGGATGTTGCAGTTGCTGGTGTTGTTTTAGGTGACCAGCAGTTTAGAAGACCAGAGTTATCATCAAAAATGATCATGATGGTACAATTAAGAAGCTAGGATCTTCTTCTGAGTCCAGAAGATACATTGAAATAATCTTACGCCAATATGTAGGAAGACTTAACTTAGAAGTGGAGCTCCAGTGCTGGAGCTCCAATGCTGGCCAGCATTCAAGACCAGAATGTCTTTCATGCGTCAATATAAAAAGTAGCTAGAACTTGAGCGTTGTGAAGGCATATCCCTTGATTAGGCTTTGCTCGTGTGCCAGTCAGTCCAACAAGTGGTCTGAGTTAAGCTGCTGTGAATACTATTTTCACAAGTGGAGCCTAGGATTGGTCTTGTCACTGAATGGAAATCTTGTAAACAGCACAATTGAACACCAGGTTGAATCTGTGTGCTGCAGCTGTTTGTCTCGTATGGCTTTGAAGTTTTAGAATCTATCTGTGTTAATATGTTTAATTTCTTCTGGTTTTAAGAAAATGCCAAGAAGACTTATGAGGACAACAATATGGAATAAAAATATGAGGAGAGCTGAATTGTAAATGCAAATAATTTATCAAATAACAATTTTATTTATAAATCATATAATTTCTTTATTTTTTATATCCTAGGATACCAGATGGTTCCATTGATCAGGGACCAGCTGCAGGAAAGGTACATGCTTTAGAGGAGCAACTTTTAAAGGCCAAAGAACAGATAGAAAACTATAAGAAGCGGACAGGAGATGGTTGGTAGATAAGTTTTCTTTTACTTCTGAAACAAGTTTTGGTATTCCATATCACAAATGTGTTGGTTTCTTAACAAATAATTCAGCTACAAGTGCTGATGCTTTTATGCATTTCTTTTTTTTTTTAAATAGAAGGCCTTGGAAAAGACCATGAAATATTGAGGAGGAGGATTGAAAATGGGGCTAAGGAACTTTGGTTTTTCCTTCAAAGTGAGCTGAAGAAGTTGAAAAATCTAGAAGGAAGTGAACTGCAAAGACGCATTGATGAATTTCTGTCTGATTTGGGTCATCAGGAAAGGTACGTGTATTTGTTGATTCTGCGTATACGTTGTAAGGATTATGGCTTGATTTAAGTAAACTACTGATGTACTGCTTAAAAATCTCAGGATCAGTTACTGGTATGTGGCATAAAATGTCATGTCTGAAGCATGACTGTAGAATTACTACTTGTATTTCATGGGACATAAACTATATATCCAGCTTATATCACTGCAGCTTAGAGTATGACCCTTTGACTTGATATATTTTCTTTTTTTTATCAGAAGACCTGGGTCCTGGATGCCAATTGTTGCTTTTCAGTTGCAACTGTCTATATATGTGCATACAAGCATATTTGTACGTATAACAAAACCATTAACAAACCTTAAAAATATTTGTTTTAGTTATCTGATTGTGCCTTTCATAAATACTAGAACATAAATTACATTGATCATTTGGATATTATATAATTGGAATTACTTTAAAATTGGGTAATATCTTAATTTCAGGACTCATTCTGAAAAGTCATTTCTTTTTGTAATTAGAATTTAACAGAATATTTCAGATAAAAATGACCTTTAATTGCACTGTCATTACTATGTTGTTCAAAGATGTGTTGGAATTGGAATTATCTTTTCAATTGTTCATATTCTGGCCTCCTCGTTGTTCAAGTACGTTTTGTATTGTACTAAAACATTATGTATGGTTTTTGTTCATGCTGAATAAAATTAATCTAGAAAGTGTTAAAAATTCAGTAAGATCTGTCTGTAAGCCTGTTATAAGTGTGTTCACAACAGGATAACAATGGCAATTTATATCATTAGTAAACAGTCATATGACAATCATTGAATTAAATATACCACCTTAAACAAGTATCTCTTTCCCAAAAAAGCTGGGATCTACATGTGTGAACATCGGTCGTAAAGCATGAACCTTGGAAAATAATGCTGTAGTAAAAGAAAAAAATAGTAAGACTTTTCAATTCTTTGGAAATAATGTAAACACTATTTAAAACATAGTTTAAAAAGAATATGAATTTGATTATTAATGTGGGCAAATAATATAGTCCATTAAATTTTGTAATTTAATATTCTGCAATTCCAAAACTCAGTTTGTCACAGATTGATGGAGTTTAAAGTGAGAAGGGACTATTCAATTATCAAGAGTTATTATGTATATAAAATAAGCCATTACATTTCATCCAATTATTTCTCTACTGAGCACAATTATGTTATGTTTGACTGAAATAAAAGTAGTGCTTGGCTGAAGCAGAATTTTCTGAAAGACTTGCGATCTTCAGTTAAACAATCAGCTGACAGAGTAGCTGCTGCTTCCCTTGACTGTTTGAATAGTTACCTCCACTCAGAAATATTTGTTCTCCAGAGAAATTATTTCTGTTTGGATTTCTTGGACTTCAGGTCATTGATTCTTGATGTACCTTTTAAATGATCTGTGTCAAAATGGGAGCAAGTAATCTAATGCCAGACTTACTGATGTCTGTCATGGGAACAAAATCACTTGTGTACACATTACTGCTCTGTTTCTACAGAGAGAAATGCATCAGGCAGTTGCCACAGTGGAACCTTGAATGATGTTGTATGTTTGATGCCAGAAGGTTTTCATGTCTCTGCTTCCCAGGAGGAATCCTTTCCTTATTCCTTTCCTTATTCCTTTCCTTCCTATACCAATGGATATTAATTCATTGAGCCCAACTTGAAAGTTTCTGTATTTCTGACAGCCTTATCTTCACATCTCTCTGCACTTCAGGATGAGGTGAAACCCATATTAGGAATGCATACTGCTTTGCATTGAATAATGAAAGTCTGCCTTGTAGACCTCTGGAACTTATGAGATGAATCCCATTGTGGTACTAGAAGAAGTTTGTATATGATGCAAGCAATCGCAGCTGCTCTCTTTTCTCTTTTCTTAAGAATTTTCTTGTTGAATAAATATTCTTTAGACTGACATGTAGATCATCAAAAGCAGAATGTCCTGGAGTCTGTTGAGTCTTAATAGTAGATCTGTGTAGACCTTCCTGTGTGGTGAGGTCCCCAAAGAAGACTAAAGTTGTTTAAGCTAAAACCAAACAGCCAGAAACTAGGTTTTATTAAACTAAAACATAGATAATTTTTTTACAATATGGAAATTCAAAGCGATTGCGTAAAAGAAAACACATACAAAAATGTTTCTACAACAGTCAGCCTGTGTTCTTGGTGTATTTACCACACTGGCTTCAGGCAACAAAATTATCTTGTGTTGCAGAATGCAGCCCTTGGTTGCCTCTAGTCCCGAGGAAGTTCCTCCTTTCACCTTTGAGGGCAGGCTGTCTGCTTCTTTCACTTTAATCTTTCCATGAGTTGCAGGAAAGCTCCCAGCTCCTTCTGTGCGCATCCTTTGGCCTGGGATGCACGGCTGTCTCTGGGGGTGAGCTTTTCCCTTAGGAGGCACAGTAGCTCCCCAGGGAAGGAGTGGTCTCTTTTTCCCTCCACACAGCCCAGCTGGTCTCTTCTTCCTGGAAGGAGCATAACAGAAGTTTAGAATGAGAAAATCAGATGCTCTCATTCATTCTGAGAATCACAGCTTTTTGATGTGTTGGGGTTTTTTTTACTGCTTTTTGATGTTTTTTTTTTTAAGTACATGTGCACTTGTGGGTTTGGTTTTTGGTTTTTTATGTTGTTTTTTAGGGATTTAACAAGTTGCCGAATGCTGCCTTTTTGACAGTGATGTCTTAAAAAGTTGTTACCTGTGTATCTTAGATAAATGGAACACTGCATGTGAAGCTGGTATTACTTATAAACATATGTCTTAGATATTTTAATATATATTATAATCTAATATTTGGATTAGAAAGATAAGTGTTAATTAGAAGTACTTAGAGCAGTTTGTAATACCCTCCTTATGTGGGAAAGCAGATAAAGGGATGGGTAGTGATCAAATTATGAGATAGCTATGTAAGGAAAGCGGCTAATATTTTGTTGTTGTTTGTGAGGAAAGCCTGTTGTGTCATAGAGAAGACTTGATTTTTGAGAGATGATAAACTCAAAGACAGTTTCTGTGACTCTGGATAAGTAGTATTAGAGTTCTTTGTTAATCTTGGTGCTGTTATGCAAGTGGTCTGCTACTAATAGGATAGTGCTTCTCTTGTTGGATGCCTTAATCTTTATTTCTTGACTGTGTCCTAGGGGTTGTGCAGATTTTCTTCTGGAGAATGCCAGTCTTGGCAGGTGTTTTTGTCCAGTGTTTCACTACTGATTCTGTTTAAGGAACAGTGTAGCCCTATGCGGAGTTTCCTGCATTATGGAATATGTAGTTGTATTCTTGTAGTTGCTATAGGGAACGAGGATTGTTGAGAGTAACTTCATTTTAACAGTGGAAAGACTATTTGAGATAGAGCTAACAAAAAGGAACAAATTAATCTTCTAGTTGTCATGGTTGTTTCCTGCGTTGGCATTATGTTGTTTGCGAAGTGGCTGTTACTGACTTTGTTTCGTTCCTTCTCCTCCTGGGGAACAGCTGTCATCAGGGCTTTCGTGGTAGTTGGCCAAGGTTTGATGCATAGTGTTTGAATATATTTTCACATTATTTCCTTTGAATTTGGTGGAACATACCACAGTGTTTTTCTTGGAGTTTTTATTTGTTGATGTAAAGTTTCTAGGAGGTTTAAATGTAGTTTTGTCATATGGCTGGAATAAATGTCTAGACTGATCTTTAAAAATGTGTTAAAAATGCCTGCCCTCCCCCTGTTACTTGTGACGATCAAATGCAGATGAAATATATAGCCAGATTCTTTACTCCATTCTGCTTTCCAGGAGAAAAATGCTTTTTTAAGAGCAGCTCCAAGATTTAATTTATGATATGAAACAAAAATAACAACAACAAATTGATATTGTTGGTTAGTAACTCAACGAAAGACCAAGTTTGACTTACTAAATATCTGCAGTGCCACTGTCTGAAATGCTTTCTGCCATTTTACCACTCATAATAGCTTCTAATAATCCTGCGCAGGCTCACCTTTTGTCTACAATTTAGCTATCCTGGCCTCCTGGATCACTGGTCCATCTCCTTTTTAGCTCTCCTCATGGAGTCTGACTCTGGTCTTTGGTATGAGTTTGTGTCTCTTCTAAATCTGTATTAAAAAGCCATCATGATGGTCTGTCACACTCAGAAGAACCTAACAAGTGTAAACCTAAAAAATGCACATTTCCCAGCAGTAGGAATCAAAGAAAGATGGCCTCCGTGACTGAAAGTGGGTTAAAATTGCACTACCCTATAATCGTTTCTGTGTGATAACACCTGTGAATTTTTGAGTTCCTGGTTTACTTCAGAGTTTTATAAAAGTAAATTTTCTCAAAAAAAGATTGTGGATACTATCTGAAAACTTTTGCATGAATTCATAAATTTTCTCACAAATTATTTGATGTTCTTTATGGTTTGTACTGAGCAAAGCTGCCTTTCCCTAAAGTGTTGAGTCACTGAAGCTGTGTAAGGACTCTCTCATCATTCCTCTTACCTCAAAAATGATGGAAAATAGTTATATTTCATCTGTAAGGCTGATTATTTAAACTTGCCTAGTACCTTTGCTTTGTCATGGTCACCATGGCCAATTATATAAAAAATAAAATTTAGACAACACTGTATTTCCTTAGAAATAGGAAAAATTACTTAACTGCTGAGAGGGAAAATGATTTTTTTTTTTAAAAAAAAATTTATAGGCTTTGTACTTTCAGTTATTTTATGCCAATATTTAATAGAAATGTATTTTTATAAAGTAAAAGAAGAGTATACTGGTTACTTACATCACAAGTACAGAAAAGACTTTTTTAAAGCTAGTGAAAGAGAGCATTTGAAAATTGTTTAAAATGTGACTGTGGCTATGCAGCTGCTTTTACTGATAGTAGAGGATTTTTTAATGTATTTTTTTAATGTTTAGACCTGAAATTTATAGTCTTTCTTTAAACATCCAACATTGTTGCATCCTAATTGGGAAAAAAAAAAATATGTAAACTCCTAAGAAAATGCAAGGGTTTCCTTTTTAAATTTGCCTACTAGCCTGCTATGCTTTCTATAAATTGGAGAACACCGCTTTAAGAGGAGCAGACTTTTTATCTATTCAGTATTTGTATATAATCCATTGTATTAGATCTACTACATCATTAATTCTGTTCTAATTGTCCCTAAATTGTGTTTGCATATTTTTGAGTATTATGTGTCTTTAATAGTTAGTGATTCGAAACTAGTTATCCGATGATACTTTAATTTCTTTGTTTTTTATACAAACCAGAGTGTAGGATATTTCAAGCTCAGTTACCTTGTAAAAGAAAATCCAGTTTATATAGTTTGAGATTAGAATATAAATACAGTACTTCCAGCTGATTGACAGAAGGTGAACATTACTGCTGTTGGACAGTTTGGGTATAATGTTCAATACAACAACAGTAGATGGTACAGTAAGTCAGTGTCCCTGTTATCCTGTGTAGAAATACGGGTGTGAAAACCAGAATGTGTCTATGAGGATGGAAAGATACAGATCCATAAATCCAGTTATTGTCAAGAGAAGGTTGTCTGATAACTCTACTGATACAGATAGCTCTGTCCCAATTTGATTTATCTCAATATTTACCGCTTAAATATTGTGTCATTGGAAATAGTTACCTAATAGATACATCATCTGCTCCTCTCGTTTGCTAAGCTTATTTACAAGGAATAGCCTTAGCTAACTGGGTTTGTGGTTCCAGTACTAACAAGTGCTGCCAACAACCATGTCTTGTATTACTTCACTGGCCAGACCACTTCAAAGATTGTTAGGAAATATTCTCTTCTTCCCCTCCCACTCTTTTTTTGTCACCTCCCAAATTTCTCTGCCTTTGTTCTCTTGCATCTCTTCCTAGTGATCAAACTTGCGGCTTATCAAGAATTTTGGGCAATATATTGCGACATCTGAAGTTCAGATCGAAGAATTAAGAAAAGTGATTCAAATTTAAAACTTTAGCGTTGTTACAGTGAAATGATTAGCAACTTTAAATATTCTCAGTCTGAAAAGCCAACTCTGAAATTATTGTTTCTGAATTGGTCTGTTACTTGTAGAATAGCCATTCATGTTTTTACAAATATTTTGGATAGTTTGCCTCTAATTTTATATTTCCTCCCCAAAACCACAGAGATAAAAAAAATCTTTTCCTGGGTGGTACTGTTTGGGCTGTTTTTCACAAAATTCATGGCTAATCTTAGCAAATAAATGTCATATACCATTTTCCCGCTCATGACAAGGGGTTCTTTATCTTCCTATTTGGCCACCGAAATGTGATACACTAGAGATCCTTTTCTTAGAGTTATTAGATAACCTCAATTTAATATTTGATAGTTCCTCAAAATTCACATTTTGTAGCGTAGACTAGTAATATGGCCATGAGTCTGTTTTGAATTTTTAATTTTTGCATTTTTTTCCATTTGAGTATTAGTAGTATGCAGTCATTCTAAGCAGGCAGCATGCTTACCTTCTGCCAGAGTCAGAATGAGCTCTGTGCCATAGAAAATACTGTTTACTAAATCTTGTAATAATATTCTGTCGTTTTCACTAATAAAGATAGAAGGATTACTGTTGTACCTGTGCTAAAGACATTTGTAATATTATATTCTATACAAGCATAGTAAGATAACTGTAGGCGGCAAAGTGACAATGAATTATAAAAGAAGTTACTGTAGGAATCATTATTGCACTTCCATCTGAGGCCACTGGCTAAAGTCTCTAGCATGGAACTATTACTTCTTTTTTCTTTAGCACATACCAGAAACAAATGCTTTAGAGCAGGTCTGTCTCCTGTTTAAGTATGGAACATATGTTAAATGGAGGACACAGTGAGTCTGTCTTGGCTGCTGTTTGGATTGTGGTGTAGGAGGTGGCATGAAGAAACTATTTTGAGGCTATAATTGAAATATTTGTTTAATTTGTCTTTGATTTCTTCTAGTCCTCCAATTTAGTAATGTTAAGATTGTTTCCCATTTTTAAAAGATTGTTTTCCATTGTTGTTTACAGGTCAATAATGACCGACTTGTACTACCTCAGTCAAACAGATGGAGCAGGAGATTGGCGAGAAAAAGAGGCCAAAGATCTAACAGATTTGGTACAGAGGAGAATAACTTACCTACAGGTAAGAGGGTAGAGCTTTTAAATCAAGGTAAACGTTTTCATTTTTTTTAAATATATATGACACTTAGCTATATCCTTGTAATAGAATAATTACATGACAGTTTTAAATGAAGGTTTGTATAAGAATGAATTACATGCAAAAGAAATTAGAACATTTGTTTCAAACATTATTTTCTATGTATATGGAATGATAGTGTTTCAAGCAAATCTTTGGGTTTTGGGTTTTTGTTGTTCGTTGTTTTGGGTTTTTTGTTTGTGGGGTTTTGGGTTTTTTTCTTTTTTTTTTTTTTTTGATCTGTGATTTTCACTGGGCTATATTTACCTGTTTGGATTCTTTGTTTTATTATGAAAGATAAGTCTCTGGTTTCTATGTTTGATTCTTTAGAGTGTTGGAATGCATACATATGTTTGCACAGTGTTAAAAATAAAAATATGAAAGTCCTTATATGAAACTTCTGAACAAGCAGCCCATTTTTAAAAATACAAGTATGCAAAATTGAAGTGCTTGTATATAGTATATTGTCCAGTCATAGACTGTCTCAACAGATGCATGAGGTGTCTCATAGACGCTCATATTTGAGTGCATAAAGCCTTTTTAGTATATGTGCTTGTGTGTGTCTATGAAATGTAAACAAAATTTGATCTGAAAGTTTTGGGACTTTTATTAATGTATGAATGCATGCAGCTATTTATATAGTGATCAAACAGATATTTGATGTAGTCTGTTTTCTTTGTGCTTGGTTTGTTTTTCCTTGCATGTATGCACCTCACTACTCTGTTTTGTATGGTCACCCCTAATGTCTGATCTTTTCTCTGTGTAAATAGCTGAATTTGTTTCTCAGATTTTCATTATTTCACAATTCAGCTATTGGAACCTTCTCTTCTGTGACCAAGCTATGTATTTGTTTCTTGTTAAATAAAAAAAGGACACTCTTCTGTGGAAAAAAAATCCCTGTAAATTTTGCAGGAGACATCACTTCAATGTCTTCCTTCAACAACTCCTTAAGAACTGTTCCTCATTCTTTCATTTTTGATGTCACTCTTTAGCAATGGTGTACTGTAACTACTTTTCATGCTGATAAATATGACCTTTCTAGATCTTTTTCTGTTCTTTCACTTTGTCCATTTGTTATTTTATCTAAGCATGTATACATTTCTGGAGAGTGAGTGTCTTCCTATTTCATATTTTACAGTGCTCAAGGCCTTAGTTCAAGACTAGAACCTCCAAGTACATATAATGAATAGCAAAAGTAAAAGCAGCTTAGGAGAACAGAGGCTCAAAATTGTAGCATTAAATAAATACTTACTTTATTTTCTGGTGAATTTGAAATAGATTTACTTACTGAGTGAAGAACTGGGAGCTCAATTAGCTCCTAAAATTTATTTAGATGCGTATGGTCTATGATAAAGGCCTTTCCTCTCCATAGAGGTAATTTATTCTCATTTTTTTAAAAATGAGAATAAACAATATTAAGAATGAAACCAGTGCCAAGTCACAACACATGTAGAATCCTAATATTTAATATTTGTAGCACAACTAGCTAAAGCCTTTCAGAAAGTGTATTATATCCTCAGGCACTTCCAAGAAAGGTGACTGTCTTTATCCTCATTATCTTGAGAAGGAAACCTGATGAGGAGCATAAGTGACACATACAGGAAGTTGTGGCATTAGGTTCAGGATTAGAATTAAGTTTAACATACTTGGCTCAATTTCCATCATGCAGGCCATTTTTGTTTCTGTTTTATTTATGAATTTGTAAAAAAAAAAATCAATAATAAAATTTCTGTCATCGGAAGAACTGAGCGTTTTTTCATATTTATGCATTTAAAATATGAAATTATTCATTATGAGTCCATCCTGTAACACTGAGAAACACATAAGAAAATCAGCATTTCCCTCCTTTTTTCTTTTCTTTGGTGTTTTTTTTTTTTTAAGTTCTGGTGTTTTCTGTATTACAGGGGAAATTACATTGTTTTTTGTTTTTTATACATCATTACTGGTAGATTATAGAAATTAGAAACATATAAATTTCTTATTGCTGCACATCGAATTCCATAGAACTGTTTTACATGGAAGGATCTAGAAACTATACAGAAGGGACATGTGTTTCCTTAGTAATTGTCTTTGAGGTTTAAGTTGAAGAATGGTGATACATATTTTCAAAAAAATGTAATTTTAGCTTTGATAAATGTTGATATTTTCAGCATTGTATCTGTGCAGGTCATCAAAAATAGCACTAAAATCTTGGGTTTAGCAAATTTGCAGCAACATATTAAAATTTATTTGGGTATTTTATGAACAAATAATATTACCCTGTTTATATATCTTTTTGATTAGTTGAAACATTTTAGCTGTATTGAATGCTCATTTTTTGTTGTACTAAAGTGTGAAATAGAAATATGTGATGAGTCTTGTCTCACTAAACTTTCTTTCATGTGCTTGCTGTGTTTCTTTTTATTAATATCTCTTCAGGGTAAACATACATAAAATTTTCAATGATTCTTCATGTGTAAGAATTTGTAATACCTTTAATTTTTTCTTATTGATGTCTTCCCTTAACAGTAATTCTTCACTGGGCTATTAGAAGTGAGCATCCACTAGCTGACAAATGACAATAGACTATTGATTTATACAATAACACCAAAATGTGTTTTGTTCTTATCTTGCTTTTTATGCAATATATTTTTATTTAGCTATTTAGCCAGTAACAGATCTCCTGGAGTTCAAGTCACTGTGGACTTATTGAAAATGATGCCCAAGATTTTTAATTCATCTGAATTTTGAAACTTGAGTATTTTTCCTTCCACTATGCTTACTTTAGTTATCAATACGTAATTTCACTTGTCATGAGTCATGCTTAGTTTAAATTTAGTTATCAATACAAAATTTCAATTGTCACGAGTCGTGCTTACTTTGGTTAGTTTCTTCGGGAATTCATGACAATGTTCTGTAGACTTGACTAATTTAAGCTTTCTTAGACATTTAAATTAACGACTTTGCCTTTTACCAGTTCTTCCATGTTTCATGCATGAAAGTACTAGTCCTGCTAAGATAACTGGAGGCCATTTGTCTGTGTATTTGCCATTTTTCACTCCTTTTTATAATCTGGCTTTGATCTTTGACTGCACTTTAGGATAGTTTAGTGACTACATATGTTTATGGATGATCATTTACCTCCAGGTGTACACTATTACTGTCATTCATAGAAAAGATTCAAATCCCAAGGCATGGTAGTTCTCAATATGTACAACATTGCCCAAAGTTGGGGTGGAAACTTAGCCAGCTCTTCAAAGAAAGAAAATATTCTTTCTTATGAGTAGTTACAGTCTTTGAGATGGGTCATTCACATACACATTTACTTCCATCTCTCTTTTCATTTTTATTCTCATTCTTCTGTCTGAGAAAAACAAGTATCTGCAAGCCAGACATAAGCTTTTGGAGCCCTTCTAAAGATTAAAATGTCTCCTGTCTTGAAAGATTGTTGTGACCACACATTTGGAAGTCAAGTTGACTTATTTTCTAGTGTGGGTTTCAGGATTTTGAAGAGTACAGGGCTCACTGTAAGTGTGCAATGTAAAGCAGTCCATGGTCTGAAAACACACATATACACCTCTACTCATAATATAATTGTATTAAAAAGTAAAATAAAAAATTCAACAACTGTTGCCCCCCAACTCTATGCCAAAAAGCACTATGTGGAACATATTTGTCTTTTTTTTTTTTTTTTTGGGTGAAGAATAAAAGTACTGTATAGTTGTCTTTCTGGTACTTGTTGAACCATGACAGCTGCATTATTTTGGGACATCTCCCTGGGAAATCATTTAGCTGAATGATTGTGAATAGTGATGACTGCTACTTCATTTGGATGGCATTACCATAAATTTGATTTAATGAGGCTACATTTAGCTAGTTCCCTGTAGTTAGAGCAACACTTAAAAAGCTAGGAGCTTACATTTAAGCAAAAGACCTATTTTCAGAGATGTTAATTATCAAACGATTGGAGAGAATGTGCAAGAGAAGTCAGACAAGGGCTCCTGTAGTAGTGTATGTTCTGGAAGAAGTAGAGTGAGTAAATTATTACCTAGACAGCAGTTTATTTTCTTCTCCTTTCCTTTTGTGCTTGTTTTTGTTCCGTTTATTTTAGGAAGTTGGTGATTCAGCATGCAGTCTCCCAATTGCAGAATATTTTTGCCTCCAATTTAAAAAAAAAAAAAAATCAAAATATTTTGTTCAACTTTGAAAGTTAAAAATTCAAGCAAGTAAAAAAAGTTACTAAGTACTCAACAGCATCATCACTTATAATAGCCATACTTTGCCATAGTCATACTATTTAGTTGGGATTGTGTATGTATGCAAAGAAAAGAAAGTTACAAGACTTTATTCTGAGGTTTCTGGGTTTCCCAGTATTTTTGGTGATTTAATGTGTCACTTAAATTTTTCTGTCTTAGAGTGTATTAAATCCTCTCCCTTCCCCTCCCATTAAAATTAATGGTATATATATTTTTAATAAAAGTATTCATGCTGAAATGACAACAACAACAGAAGGCTCTAGACTCTCTGCATATGTGCAAAGGGATGTACCCTGTACCCTTCACAACTGTAAGTCTTGAAAAGTGTAAACTTGTATCCTTCAATAACTCAAATCTAATGTATTATATTTTTTCCCAGTTAATTCCATTTCACTCATGAGAAACAAGATGTAGTGTATTCTGGCAGTTGTAGTGTGCTGTTGATGTTGATAAATTCAAGCTAATTTGAAACAAAGGCAAAAGTAAATTCTAGAGTGGGAAAAAATCTTACAGAAAATTCTTTGTCAGGATTTAATTTTTTTAATGGGAAAGGAGGACACTAGCTGAAGGATTTCAGTTAGGTGTCTGTATGGGCACTGTTCTGAGAAGAGCAGGTTCCTTTAATGGGCAGACCTTGTAGTGCTTCAGTTTTCCTGTGCTAGACTCCGCATCCCTAGGTTTATTTGAAAGCTTTCTGGCATTTACTCCAGA